GTGTGTGTGTGTGTGTGCGCGCGCGCGCGCACATGTGTGTGATCCAACACCCTCTCATAATTTAAGAAACCAAAAGCAACAAACTAGATAGAAGGAAACAGCATTAACCTGATAAAGGGTATCTATGAAAAACCCATATCTAACATACTTAGTAGTAAAAGGCTAAAAACTCTTCCTCTTAAAGCAGGAGCAAGACAAGGATATCTGCTCTCACCAACGCTATTCAACAGTGTACTTACAGGCAGCATTGCCAAGAAAAAGGAACACAGGGCATCCAGCAGAAGTAAAGCTGTCTCTATTTGCAGACACTGTGTGTGTAGAATAGCTAAAGAATGCACATATCCACTAAACCTGATAATGAGAAAATAAATTAGACTTCACTAAAATGTTAAGACTTGTGGAAGAAGGGAACAAGTCAACCCACAGAATGAGAGAAAATGTTTGCAAATCATTTATCTGATAAGAACCTAGTATCTGGAATGTACAAAGAACTCAACAAATGGGGAGGCAGATGTAGCTCAGTGTAATTGTTGCCTAGCATGACCAAGGCGCTGGATTCAATCCCAACTACAAAAAAGACAAAAGGAGGAGGAAAAGTTTAGTGCAGACACTGGGCATCTACTAGACAGATGAGGTCTCTGAAATCCCTCCCCAGTCTTGCCATTTGTATAGATCAATGCCTGAGCTGCAACATACTGTAGTAGCCAAAATTATGACTTATGAAACGTGGTTACATGCTATTACATATGTTGTAATCATACAAAAGGTCAGTATTTTCAGGAAAACCATGCAATAGCAGCCAACCCAGAAACTAGATTAGGATGATCTTGAACTTGCAAGGAAATGAATCTGAAACCTGACATTTAAAGGTGCTCCCTCCTGTAGTCTTCAGAGTATCTGCATTTCAGTGAGCATTTCCTTAAGCATCTTTAAAGCATATTTGTGTATATCTAATCAAAATCTTTTGTTACTGGAGATACAACCTAGGGCCTTCACACTTTAACATACATACATAGCCCAATTTTCTTTTTTGAGACAGGGTCTTAAGTCCCTCAATTGCTGAAACTTGCGATCCTCCTCCCTTAGCCGCCCAGTGCTGGGATTACAAGCACGAGCCTTTGCATCTGGCTGATTAACCAGTATCTTCATGGGGCACCCTGCTGCTCCACCTACCCCAATTTCTGGCAAGAACAGGTCTTTCAATGACAAAACAGCAAAACGTTTTGGTAAATTCCACCTATGGCTGGCCTCAAATTCTGTGATACCTCTCCAAATAGTTTGTCCCCTCATCACCTTATTGTCCCCTATTACCTTAAAACTCTAGGTCACATCCTTCCTTAGCTCTGCACACAGGAATGATAATCACATGGAGGATCAGTATTAAAGGGTCACTTGTCCTAAATTTACCTAGTCTACCTCATCCCTCTTCAAGACTGGGGACAAGAATAATTATTTCAATTTGCAGAACTACCAACTTTCACAATGTCCAGGTTCCAGACTCCCCTGGAGTGATGCCTGGAATCTCCAAACCCACAATCACCTCAGATTCCAGAAAAGCATAGCCTCAGACACCACCCCCAAAACCAGATCACCCCTCCCAAGCAAAAACAACCATCTTGCCCCTCAAGCAATAAGGATTCTTCTGGAGCTAGGAAATCATAACTGAGATCATGACCAGCCAGACCCTGGCCCCCTTTAGCTAACCCAGAGAAGCTGGCCTTGTCTTTTTGAGGGGCCAGTATGAACCTCATCATACTGAGCCCTCCAGTCACCTAAGTTTACCTTACAGTGGACCAAGTTACAAACAGCCTGACACATGAAAAACAGGTTACAACCAGAACATTTTTTTTTTTTTGGTACCAGGGATCTAACTCGGGTCCTTGAGCTTGCGGGGCAGGCGGCGGAACCACTGCGTTAAATCCCCAGCCCCAGAATTTTATGACCAAAGTCTTGAGTTATAACCTGAGTGCCAGCCACTTGTGCTTCCAGATGATCTCAAATACATTTAACCCTTAAAGAATTCTGGAAGGAACATTACATCCTTTCCTGTGTGGGGCTGAAAAATCCTGGGCCAATGTCTAAAGACAATGAGATCTTCCTGTATACAGAGGAGACTTTGAAGGCTGTGTAGAGGAGCCCGAGCATTCAATTGACCAACGTGAGTTACAACCAGCCCTTGGGAACAAATTCAGTTCCTAAGTCAAGGGTCTCCTGTACTTTCTAACCTCTGGTAATTTTCCATTGGCCTCAAGTACGGTGTTTTGGGGGAACCTCTCCGTTTTAGGGGACTTCCTCCTGCAGGATGTGCATCAGCAGCCATTCTCACCCTTGCAAGTGCCCCTGGTCTTATCGCACACCTCTCCTTGCAATACAGTAAGAAATGGTAGAAGGGTACATTCCATACATTGTCAGCAAGGCAGGATGGGGAAGTCTTCATTTTAATGGATAAATTCGGTCATGAGGAAAAGGCCTGAAAATCCTTAAGTGTCTTTGACCTATTACACCTGAGATTCTTTCCTCAGTCCTGCAAAGTTGCCAGCAATTTCCATTCTCAACTATAATTACTGTATCTTACAAACATTATCAACTAGTTTTGTCACATTTCCTATGTCCCTTCTACCTTTGAGCGTGTTCCTCAATACACCTTTCTCCTTGCTCTACTGAAAAGTATCATCCAGCTTACTGTCCTCTCTAGCTTTAACTTGTGCTTTCCTTAAAAGGGGGTACTTGTCATTTATTAAATAGGACCTAGAAGCCTGTATCAGCGGTGGGGAATTTATGGCACGGGTGCCACAGCCAGCTGTCAAACTGTTATCACTGAAAGCTCTAAAAGGTTCACCATATCTGGCCTATATCCTGTATCTCTCAATTTTCACTTATTTTTCCTTCTCAAGTTTTTTCTCACACAATTACATTATTTGCTAAATAGTTACAAGTTTCAGGAAATAACTACATCTGTTTGATCCATATCCCTAGGAACATAATCTTTTGAAGTGCTGATTTCTTGGCAAGACTCAGACTGTCACATGATCAGAAAGCAGCAGTAGGTGGGTGTGGTGCCCCATGCCTGTAATCCCAGCACTTTGGAGGCTGAGGGAGGATCCCGACTTGGGAGGCCAGTCTGGACTACACAGTGAGCCTCTACCCCACCCCCCAAAAAGATAAAAGCAGCACTAAACATGGGCTTGCATCCCTGGGATTCTGACCTCCCTAATACTGGCCCATTAAGACTTCACCAATTTTTGAGTAATGTTCTGTAACTGTGCCACCAACTTACACTGATCTTGGTTAAGTCCATTGTGTTCCTTTCTCATACTTTCAATAGTTTTCCCTTCAAATATTTTAAATCCACTTTTAAAGCCCATATCCCTACATTATCTAGATTGAAGACATACAAATCTTTGGAGGGTTAGGGTTCTGAAGCCCAAGTGGCTGTTACAGGAGATTTGTTCCGTGTCAAACTAAGGTACACATTTGCACAAATTAAAACTAAATGACACATAAGAGAATCTTGACTAAGTAAAATACAATACCATTGTGATAAAAAAACAACTCTACAGACTGGATATACCAAAAGACCCCCGCCATCTTAGATGTGTCAAACAAGCAAAATTTTTCTGGTATGCTAGGGATAAAATCCTACACGATAGGCAAAAGTTCTGCCACTAAGCTACACCATCCAGCTTCACATACAAAATACAATACTTAACCAAGTGAAACGAATGTTCAAGAGATGACTATAAAAAAAAATTAAATAAATAAATGAGATGAATATCACAAATTTGTGTAACAGTGATATTCAACTAAAACATTCCTTAGCAGCAACAATCTATAACTGTTTTTTACTTTCTTTTTTTGTATGGGGGATCAAACTCAGGACCTTGCAGTTGCGAGGCAGGCACGGTATCAATAAGCTAAATCCCTGGCTATAACTGTGTTTTTGAGACAGGGTCTCTATGTAGTTCAGGGTGGCCTTGAACTCATGGCAATCTTCCTGCCTCAGCCTCCTAAGTGCTGGGGTTACAAACATGTACCACCACAGCTGCCTCGGAACTATTAACAATAAGACCAAGGGGCCAGCGATTTAGCTCAGTGGTTTCGCCGCCTGCTGGGCAAGCACAAGGACCCGAGTTCAATCCCCAGTACCAAAAAAAAAAAAAGACCAAGTTGGTACTGCTGTAACAAAAGGGAAAGGGCAAATAAACAGAAGATAACTATTTTTTTTAATTTTAAAAAGACTGGAAAACCACCGGTACTTTGGCTAGAAACATCACAGCAAGTCCTACTGCTTATCTTTGAAGCTTCTCTCTACTGCTCTCCCTCAGCTCCCTTTCCTCCCTTGTACTGCTACAGCTCTGGCCATCTGAATTCATCATTCTCAAGCTTTGTATTGTAATTGTTAGCTCTACCTTTATCCAAACCACTTCAGAATCTGTAAAGGGGGGCCAGGGATTTAGCTCAGTGGTTCCGGCATCTGCCTTGCAAGCGCAAGGTCCTGAGTTCAATCCCTGGTTCCCCCACCACCAACCCCCAAAAAACCAGACAATCAGAATCTGTAAAGGGGAGGAATGTTTACAAATATTTGCTGTATATAGCTATTTATAGCCATTTCTAAAGTAAATACTTTAAATACAGAAAGCAACTTGTCACACAGGTAAAACTGCCCTTAATGTTCAAACTTATTAACAGTTTGGGGAAAGTAGAGACCATCATGTTAGCTAGGTACTCAAGACCGCAAACCTCTGAAGCTGCTGTGGGTTAGAGCTAGGTACCAAAGCTAAACTTCTCATTCCATAAAAAATCAGGGGCCAGGGATTTAGTTCAGTGGTGCCACTGCTTGCCTCACAAGCGCAAGGTCCTGAGTTCAATCCCCAGTATCAAAAAAAAAACAAAACCCACCAGAAAGTCAAACACCCATCTGAATATTCGGTGTCTAATAAAAGATACAACATACATACATAATTTTTGTAACATCCACACAAGCACACTGCTCTTTGAAATTTAAAGAAAAAATTTATTGAAGATCTGAAAAACAATTCCTAAAAGATTGACCTTTCCAGAAAACTGTAGCTACACAATGCATTGCGTCTATCATGTTAAAACGTGCATTAGACACAATTACAAAAACCATGAAACAATTCACCATTCTTCAACAATTTGAGCAAAGAGAAAATGCCTAAGGAACAACATGAATGACTTGCAAAGGATGGGCTCTTTAAG